AGGGACACGCTGGACCACGCTCCCTGCTGCAGTGATTCCAGGTTTTTTGGCTACTCGGCCGCAAAGCCCTGCTTGGACAGAGCCATGGTCATCGAGGTGATAGATCTGGGTCAGCTGTATTGGGCCCAGGGCGTGGGCGGGTGTGGGATGGAAAGAGGGGTTAATGTTGGTTAATCAGTACCAGGCACACAATGGGACATTTCTCATATGCCATTTCATTGATTCACATACCAACCCAATGAGGCAGTAGCCTTGATCCTCCAGGTGAGAGAGCCCAGGACCAGAGAGGTTAAGTAGCTGGTTCAAGCTCCCACAGTAAATGACGGAGCCCAGATTTGAACCTAATTCTGCCCCACTTCAAAGATTTTACTCTTCTCACACTCAAATCCTACCCCTAATTCCTTCTTCATTTAGAATTTGAGTCTGATGCTCCTACTCCAGGGTAGGAGGCGGTGGGGGTCATGGAAGAAAAGATCTACCACCATGCACGTAGGCACTAGTGAACTAGGGACTTGGGATGTGTCTGTCCTCTGGGAAACCTCCTGGCTAGATCCCCCGTGCTCCCCAACCAGCCCCTCCCAAGGGAGGAAGTAACTTCCGCCAACTCCCAAAGAGCAGTTGGTGCTCCACCTCAACCATCAGCCTCACCTCAACACCACCCTTATCCAGTGACCTTTAATTTGCCCTGCACTGGAGATGAAAGAAAAAACTACAGAGCAGCGGAAGCAGAAGTCCTGCCATCTAACAGACACTTCCTGTCTTCAGCAACCTCTCCTCACCACCCAAAGGGCAGCAGCTCAGGGCCTCAGGAAGCAGGTGTGCTGGGACCCGCCAGGGCTCAGAGGTGACACTGGGGGTCACTTCAGGGGAAACTTCTCCACCTCCAACCCCACACCTGGTGGATGGTATTTGAGAGGTCAACTCCGGGTTGCTTCTCTGTGGCTTAGGGCTCTGGTCCAGGTTAAGCGCAGGGGACATTTACAACGGTGGCAGCCGTTGCGAGCCTAGTATGAATGAGTTTCCAGTCTGGTTATGAAAGCAGGTTTTGAAAGGGAGGACAAAAGGACAAAACCAGGAGGACTATGGGTGTCTATTTATGGAGGCTACAAATAAAAGCGTCCAAGTGGCTCTGTGGACATTTCCCACTCACAGCTCACCAACAGGACAGGAACGGTAACTACCTGGCATGCAGTCAGAGCTGATGGGAGTGGACCATCCAATAAGGTGTCCCCTGTAATCAAGAATCCATCCTTTGCCCTCACCGGTTCAGCTCAGTGGTCTGCACTGGCCTGCAGACCAAAGTGTCCCAGGTTCAATTCCGGTCAAGGGCATGTACCTCGGTTGCAGTCTCCTCCCTGGCCCAGGCCCCGGTTAGGGCTTGTGCAGAAGGCAACCAATCGATGTGTTTCTCTCGCATCGATATTTCTCTCTCTTCCACTCTCTCTAAAAATCAATGGAAAAATAAAAGTGAGGATTAACAACAAAAAGAATCCGTCCTTCAGTCCATGAGAGTGGAGCTCCAGCTTCCCTCCCCCGACGCCCCCTCCCCAGGTGGGAACTGGTGCACTCTGTGCTGGTTACACGCATCCTGCTCTCCAGGGGAGGATGAAACGGGCCCAATGACACTTCTCAATGACAAGCTAGGCCCAAATCTTGGGCTTGGGGATATGGGTTCCTGGTTGTCCGGAACCAGGCTGTGGGATTTGCTGACGTGAGTCAGAGCAGAGAACGTTAAATGAGAACCGATGCGGCGCTCCGAACATGCTTAACTGCATCAGACGTGAACCAAGGCAGCCCCCAAGCCAGGCCCTGCCCCCCGAGCCAGACTGGCTCTGAGAACCTGGGAGGAAGCTAAGTGCTTCAGGCGTTCCTGCTGGAAATGACGCAATCAGGATGTGCGTCTGGGTTGTGCAGCTGGGTTCTCGGTCTCACAAAGGTCTCAAGTCATAAAAATGCCCCTCACCTTCCAATATTTACAAAACACACCGATGTCCAAAGAACTCGGAACACGTTTCATGGAGTCACTGCTAACGTGGAACTACTTAAGGGGGGCATCTTCACCTCCACCTGAACTCAGGGCGTCTAAGTATTTTACTGAGTCACACGCACAGAGCATTCTGAGGATTCCTAGGCGCTCTCCTTCCACCCTCAGTTCTCGGACACATATGTCCCCCCACACATTTGAATTGGACTCAATAACCACACACTTGAGAAAAACCTAAGTATGCATTTACTATCCACATAGTAGTAACTAGGTCAAATTACAGGCATAAAGATGAAAAGGGAATAATCAACTCTGAGGTGCTCACCTTCGAACACACACCTGTGAAGGGGAGGAGGGACTCAGATGCCTCAGGGATCGGGCAGATATCACAAATCAATGAAACAGACCAGGGGAGAGAGGACAACTCTTGCAAAAAGAGGCAACCCCATCCTAGCCGGTCTGGCTCAGTGGATAGAGCTTCGGCCTGCGGACTGAAGGGTCCCGGGTTCGATTTTGGTCAGGGTCTTGTACCTCGGTTGCAGGGTCCATTCCTCTGTGGTGTCAGACTGCCACTTGCCAGCCACCATCTGCAACTGCAACAGAGGCATCAACCCACGGGCTCTCCCGATGTATGATGCACACAGCTGGACCCCGAGCCGTGCGGAACTAACGACAGGAAAAGTGGAAGGCTCAGCCGGGCCGCCCGCAGACAGCAGCAGGCTGGCCCTTGTGGTCAGCGGCTGGCCAGCTGGCACTAGATGGCCGACTGCTCCTGCAGGAAGCCCTCAGGGCCTGGGAGGCCTTTCTCTGGCTCAGAGGCCAAGGCCGCTTCCCGAAGGACTTGCAAGTGCTCCTCAGCAGCGGACAGCGACTGGTCTACCCAATCCAGGCCCCCGGTCAGGTGGCAGGCGTTCCTGGTCACCAGCACCAGATGACTGACAGACAGGAGCAGGGCCGTTGTCCTAGAAAAAACAACAACAGGATCATGTCCCCCCCAGGAAGAAGGAACTTCGTGCCAAAACCCAACTGGTCTGAAGTCTATAGTCTGCTCCCCAGGCCGGAGCCCCTTCCCTAGGAGGCGGGTGAGCATGCAATTTACAAATGCTCAAACAAATTTGGGAATGGCTAATTTAAACAAGGTTACCTGAAGCCTTTTCAGAGCCTTTAATGAGAATATAATACTCCACGTCTCATTAGCTTATTTAAGACTGTGGTGCCCACTGTCTGCTGCTCACAATGGAAAGCCTCCAGAAGAGTGTTATGGGACAACGTGGTGCATCTAGCCAATTGGATGAGCACATCCCGCTGCTACCCACTCAGAGATGGGATATCCACGCCCCACCGCGAGCATCCCTGTTGATTCAGAATCCCCCGGCCAGGCGTGGCTCACTGGATGGCTGACCATTCGCACTGCACTGAGTGGTACCCAAGGCCCAGGACAGCCGGGAAACCAGCAGCGTGGCCTTCTCCCCACCGACCCAAACAGCGGACCTCACAGATCGGATCAAGCCGGGAGCCCGCAGCACGGAGGGGCGGCCATCTCACCGGGCATCCAGGAGCTTCGGGTCCAGCGGCGGGTACATCGATTTCACAACATCGTCCACTCTGAGGGGAGGCACAGGGCTTTCAGCATTTCACTCTCCTTAGCTCCTTCACGCCCTCCCTCCTTTCTACCTTTTCTTAGCCCAGTTCTTCTCTTTTTAATATCCAGGCCCACGTCTTTAGTGGTTTTCTCTAACGGCTTTTGCATTCTCCGCCTGAGACATAGGAAGACTTCAGGTTCAGTTTAGAGAGTATTTTGTTTTCTGGTTTGGTTTTAGTTCCAATGATTTGAATAGTACATGGTCCAACATCTGAGATGATGTTCAAGATACACTACTAAATTAAAAAGACACACTGCCCAACATATGTAAAGTTTGATGGGTCCAATTTGCATAAAAATAAAATAAAAAGCCATGAAATGCAGAGAAGAATAGTCTGGAGTGATACTCGCTATTCAATAGCGGTGACCCCCAGGAGCTGGGAGGGGGTAGAATTAGGGGATACTTCACTTTCTAGATAACCCGTATCTGCAATGTTTTTCTTTTTACAGGTATTTATTATTTTTGTGTTTGAAAATAAAAAACATGGTTAAAGGTTATATAGAACACTAAAAAAAAAACCCTACAAGTTTAATTTGGGGGCAAACTGCTCCACTGTATTTCTTTTTAACACATGGTATAGCTTGTGGTTAATTTTTTTTTTTTAATTTAGTTCAGGGAAAAAAAAACTATTCATTCTGATTTGCATGGTACAAGGTCTTGCTCCAAATTTTTGCTCTTGACCATGTGATAATCAGGAAGAAAAAAGTAACAATGTGTTATTTGATTTCTAAACACACTTGAAAATAGATGTCCTCAAATGCTCTAGTCTCGGGGCTGCGGGGCTGGTGAGAACATGCAGAGGGATGGTCACGCCAGCCTCCGCCGGCCCGTCTCCATGGCGCCTGGAGCTGACGCCGCACCCCTTGAAACTAAGATGCTACCAACACACCACGTGGAATAAACGGAGCAAGAAAAACAACAGGACAGAACCGGCCAGAGGAGAACGACATGCGAGGACAACAAGACAAAGCAAGGATGCAGACTGAATTCTGGAGGGAATGTTCTGGAAGCAGTCTGAGGTTCTCTGCAGGATGGGCCCGTGGGCACCAGGTCAAGCCCGCCCGCTGAGCAACGCCACACCCACCCCCAAGCACCACCGCGAATCCTGACCACCCAGCCCTGGACTCATCCTCAGAAACCTCCATCTCTTTCCTCCTCCGACCCCTCCTGACAATGCTGCCTCATAACCCGGTTCCACATGAATCCGCCAGGCCCCCTGGGGTGGCCCTTAGGAGTGACAGGGCACACGATGGAGGTCCAGCAGGTATGAGCAATGGGGAGTCTCTGTTGATAGTGAGTGGCAGAGCCTGGTTGGAGGGCCCTTCAGGCCAGGGGCTGACCTCGGCTGATATAAATCATGGGACCGCACCCACCGGGGAGAGCTCCACAGAAAGCCAACAACGCTGGGTGGAGTCCCTCCCACTCTCTCAACACACTGAACTCCCTGGACAGAGTTCAAGTGCACCAACTCTTTCCTATGCCCTCAGAGAGCTGGCTCCTCGTGATTCACCCGAGGCCACAGCCA